TTTTTTTTAGTCATACTTGCAACCAACAATTAAATTGCTGATCAATTATGTTTAAAATTCTAGGAAGTTTAATATAACATCTTATTTTTATTATTAATAATAACGAAGAATTGTATTAAATATACAACTTAATTTTATTGTCATTAATAACAAAGAATTGTATAAAATATGTAATATAACTGGTATCTAGTAGTAGGCGACATGATATAATATTATACTTAATACTTCTGTGTTAATACTTAATACGAAATAAGGTACCTATTTTTCATTTTGTCAACAACCATAAAAATTATAATTACTGGTAAAATTAAATTACATAAAATAACTATATGATTATGGCTATAAATTACGACTATAGCCGTGCTATAAATAAACATCAGGCATGTTTATTTCTTTTTTCTTGAAAATATTGCTGATCTTTTATCAACTATGCTTATCGCTATAATATTTATACTGACAATATTTGTACCCATAAAAATGTATTTAAATTGAAGTACAAATTGTTTAATGTTTATACTCAATACGATTGTAACTGAAATGAGTATTATGGGCCCTACACAGGTTTACCGTTTACCTATACGAGTCGCAGGGTGTGCCCTGTAGATTCGCCTATGATGATAAGCAAATAARGCACTGCTGCAACCGTGTGGGCGCAAGTACGTTTCACTAGTTTGAGCTGCGATCGTATGTACATGTTTTGGACGACCAGCAGCGTCGTCCATACGCAGGGACGGGCTGGCAGGGCGGGTAGGTGGCCATACACCCACCCAGGCCCTCTAGACATTTTATGTTTGGGCCTCGAGCTATATTTGTTATGTTTAATAATTTTTCAATTCCACACAGTAATCATTACCACGAAAACGAAGACTATACAATATTACAATAGGTGCTATTTACAAAAATTAAGTAACTATGGAACAGTAGTCAGACTGCTGCCGCGAAGGCTATGAAAGTTCTTTAATTTAGATTCATTTTTGGAATATGTGTAATTTATTAGATTTTTAAAACAATAATAGTTATTACTAATTAGTATTAAAAATAGTGTTTAAACTTTAAATTAAAAACAACACATTCATTTTTAAAATTTTTTATATTATTTGTATTGAAAAAGATTTAAGATTTAAATATTGAAGTAACTTGTTTTTTTATTATGTGGAACTTGGTTGTATAAAAAATTTTTTTATTCATTTTATTTGTATGATAAAGTTTAAAAATTTTAATATTGAAGTAATTTGTTTTATTTTATTATGTTAAATTTAGTTGAGTATAAACCTACAGAATTTTTTTCATTTTTGCTATAAGTTCCTTAAAGAGTTATTTAATTTAAAATAAACATTGTAACATGAGTCTCTTGTCTGCTAGTTTTAAAACGTATACCCACCTGGGCCTTCAGGGCCTCAGTCCGCCCCTGTACCATACGGTAAAATGTTATTAATTATTATTTTACTTTATTGGAGATTTATTTTTAAGATTACTTGCGTGTGAGCAATGATTTGACGACCACCAGCGTCGTTCGAGAAATTCTAAATACGTACATGTACATTATAAGCAAAGGCATTGTAAGAATCGTGTGCGTGGTGCGTGTATATAGGTACGTCATTTATGCTGMGGTTTTTATATACAGAATGTCCCGCGAGGATTTACCCATTGAGATATCTCACGAAATAATGGAGACATCAAAATTCTGGTTTTGTTATAAGACTCTCAAACAATAAGAACTACAATTATTTCAATTTTTAATTTATTTCAATGTTTTAAATTTAAAAATATTTTTATTTTTTTATTTAATTATTTCCAAAAAAAATAATGATAGCTATTTTGTAGAGTTTTTTTTCCTTAAAATATTGACGTTTCAAAATTTTATTTTCATTGATTTCCTGATTTTTAATAATTTTTTTCTAGTTTTGAAGAAATAAAATATGATAATAATAATTAGGCACACCCACTGAAATCGTTCGGCAGGCAGTATGAGCACGAGCGCGGCGCGTCGTTTTACATGTTTGATAACACTACGAAGTGTAATAATTCACAATTTTTCTCAAAACTAAAAAAATAA